TCGACTCAGAAATCGATTCTAAATCGACCTATATATATCTAAGGATCCATTTTTCATCATCCCCCTCGCGTTCGTAATTTTTGCTACTCCAGCAACACTCCCCCACAACTTATCTGGCAGGCGGCTGTCCTGCGACTGCTCACAGTTACCTTCGATGCAGCCAGTCAAGTGTGTTGCTCAGCCTATCGCCATCTCACGGCATTCTCATTTCACGCAGTTACCCACTGTCTTTTTTTTCTGCCTTACCTACCATCATTGAACAACTAGCAATATTTTTTTATTCCTTGACTGTATAATGACGGACTAATTATTGCAAACACCACTTACCGTTGTTTTTCCCCACTTTTCCCCTTTTTATACCATTGCCATTCATTTTTAGCCCCGAAAAATCAACCACGCAATCAACCACGCAATCAACCACGCAACAACCACGCAATAGCGTGGTCGATGGATCGCCAGGTCTAGACGTAAGGAAAAGCCCTTCAAATGATTCAGATTTTCAGGCGAAGATCGAAAGGCGTGGGATAATATATAATGAAAAAAAAACCTCTATGGCAACGAACAAACACCTATGTCGAAGATTGTTCAACAGGATTTACTGAGCAAGAGTTGAATACGAACGATATTTATCCTGATATACTGGAACTGTGAAGTGGTGGTTTATTTGGACTCATTGAAAGTGATTTATTGAATGTTGACCAGGATGATAATAATAATAATGAACAATGTTCGAAGAATGAAAAACAAAAATATAAAGGTGAGAAACAGGGCGAAACCAACTCGTCGATACCACTGCCAAAATCACCCCAGTTTTCGAGCACTCTAACGGATGATAATGCACCTCTATCCTCTCATCATACTATTTCTGTTTTACGTAACAAATCTAATGAAAATGGAACAAATCATCCTAACATCCAGAAGCAATATGGCAAAGCACCCAAAATGAGCAAAGCCACGGGATACTTTGTTTCATATCCTCAAGTAAAAATCCTCAATCAAAACGATACCATTTTGAGAACCGGAAATTTTTTACCCAATGGCTTACATTCCCCGGTTATTCGGTTCAATGGAATGGGAATCATGGTTCAGGAAACATGTGGATTTAATAGTTTTGTACACATCCTCCAGTATGCTGCACTGGATGACACCAATTATCGTAAAAGACTGGAATCATCAACCAATGGACTTTCGACTTTTACTATCAATTTTCTCAAAGAAGGGCTTACACAAAGTAATTTGTTACGTCGTTTCAATCTCCTGTCCAAGTTTTATCCACTCAAACAAACCAAAGCTACATTGAATCCATACATTTTAAATGCCAAAGACACCTTAACAAATACATGGAGATATTTTTATACTGATCCAGTTGCACACAGACGCGCTTCGTGTGATAATAATGCTTGTTCTTACAAGAAAACGAGACCACTATATGATCTAGCTGTAGATCATAATATCATCCGGATAAATGGATTTAAAGAAGGAATGCAGAGTGCAATTGCTATTTCGCGTTGATCAAAATGCAGAAGATCTGGTTGCAATGGAAAAATTCATGAGACATTGGAGTGTGGACGCACAGTTTTCATTGAGCTGGATGTGAGAAATTTTACAACAGATTCAAATGAGAAGGGTCAAAGACAATTGCAATGTAAACTGGCAGATCTTCCTGACGAATTGAATTTGGGACAAATGTATAGGTGGGTGAAATTTATGAATATGTTGTGACGAGTATTTGAATATTGACTAGTACTTTGTTTCTGTTTCAGATTGATAGGAGTGATTGACTTCGAGGCACATTGAACCCACTTCGTAGCTTATTGTCGACGACTCTCGATTTCTTGGCTTCAGTGTGATGACATGCGATTGGAGAGTGCTCCATGGAAGGCTAATGCCACCATTACACCTGTTGGTGTAGTTTACATTCGTGCATGAATCAACGCATCTTTTAGGTCCACCGATCAATCATAGAATCGATTTTAAACTCAGTATTACATCGATCTGGAAAGACCTAAGCCAACAAATCCGAGTAAGAGTTGTTATGGAGAAAAACTTCATTCTCAGACTATTTTTTTCTTATTTGATATTTGTCTCATATCTCACAAATAACGGTGTTCGAGAATATTTCTCAATTGATATTAATAAATTTATAAGAGAATTGATTGTAATATGAGCTAATTCTGAAAGTTTGTCAGACAAAACAGTGATGTTTCCCCTGGGATAGATGCAAAACTGATTTGTACATCTGAGGTGATTAGAATTGTGATACAGGAATTAAGTATTGTTTTTATTGTGTTAATTAATTTTACCTCACGGTTTGAGCGATTCAATAATCGTTCTCAATGAATAATTCAGATTATTCGACAAGATTTGGATGTTTCTCCAAGAAAATTAAAAAAATGTTGCGGATAAGATATTGTTATGTATCTACGAGAGATATGGAACTGATTAATAGAACCAACGCCGTAAAATGTGTGGGAAATTCCCTGCTCAGTTAATTGTTTTTTTGATTTTCAAGTATTACAGAGATTTGTAAATGTTTTCTACGAGAGTCATTTTTCAAATGGAAAAACTAGATATGAAACTGATTATTTTGTCAGATAAGAATCACAGGTGATATTAAGAAAAGTTAACGTTTTGTTGTTTGGCAATAAAAAATGAATATAAAAAATGTTCTCTTGTTTTATGATCAACTAAACCCAATACTCCGCATCACCTAATATTTCTAATCAATTTTTTTACGCAGATTCCCGCCAGGCGATGGCAGCGCACGTTCGACAGGTGGTGGGGGGATTTTCCAACAAAATTTTGAATTATTAATTTAAAAAATAATTATGGAATCCCAAATTTCAGGGTGATATTTTTTAAACTTCCCAAATGATTTCCCATCGATTCATACACATTACGTTTATTTAAATCAATATTTAAACATTCTGCTTAATATGCTATAAAAATAAAAATTAATTAAAAAAAAAATTAATTATTAAAAATTAATTTTATTCCTAAATCATCCCAAATAATTCCCAAGCGATTTAGATAAGATTTATTAAACAATAAATTATTTCACTGCCAACTATATGCCCGTAATGGCACTTCCACGTCCAAACTGGAACTCGTTGTGACCGACTGTATCCGCCGATCTTCGATAAATTGCATTGCTCTCTTTAATCGTACCTCCCGTAATTTTTAAAATCTGAAAAAAGAAATTCATTTTAGACAATCAGTTTTCATAAACCTTTTATATTAAATTACCAAATTCTTGTCGCCGTTTACGAGATGACAAATATAAAAATGACCATTTGAATGTAAAATGCAGGTTTCAACGAATGTTCTTTTAATTAGTGAAATCTCATTGAATGCAATTTTTTTGATGGTGATACGTATTGTTGTTTGAATGAGTTCTAACATTTTTTCATTGAATGGCAACGTTTATTAATTCAGTGGAAAATATATTTTTAATGTCTTCGATTTAATCATTTTTCAAATGTTTGAGAATGATAATCATGTTTCATTTATGTTTTATATTTTTTCACACAATTTTTGTGCTTGTTCCTCTGATTAGGAATATATAATTGAGTATTGAAAAAATTCAGTAGTAAAAAAATTCGGATTATTAATCAAAAATATGAGGAAAGAACATGACGGGATTTCCCATGATTATAATTTTTTTAATAGTAAGATGAATGTTTGTGTGATTGAATGAATGAATTTTTTCAGAGAACGGCAATAATTATTGTGTACGTCAAGACATTTTTCATGTCTTCAATTCGGTAATCTTAAACATTAGTGAGAAAAGAGATATTTTGCAAAAAAAGACTATTCAAAATAATTTTTTTAAGTCTTTGAAATTTTATAATTTTTATTTGAGAGGTTAAAAATAGAATTTTACCAATTTGGAAAATTTGGGTTCAGTTTGGTGATTAAAGATGGATCATTTTTGGTTGAGAATAAATTATGTTAATCTCTTGTAATACCTAATACATTTTGATCTCGTCATTATATTTCAAGGCGTCATCTCCCCAAAATAGGATGCGAACCCTCCTGCCATCATTGATCTTCAGTACGCATTTATATATCCGTTTCGAGGGAGATTTTGGCAATTCTTTTAGTCCTTCTATACAATCTACGTAACCAATGATCTTCCTAGAAAAAAAAGACAAAATGAATTTCGATGGTCACCGCGTATGGATGAGAGGTTAGGACGTGTCCATGTCACTATTTGTTTATATTTATATTGATATTAGGATTTTTTTTTAAATACTTACATGAGTGAAGCTCCTGGCCTGAAATTGTCAATGGCTTTGACGGAAGAATATTTAATTTTGGACAATGGCATGGTAATTCGTCAATGCACGTTTCACTGAAGCGGTAGCCGGACCCCGATATGATTCGAGTTGATCGGCAAAAGAACGATGAGGATATAGTCTTCCCCAGGAAAGAAGAAACATCAAGTTTGTGGTGGAGACCTCCCACCATTCTACCGAATCATGCACGAATACCGGAATGAGCAGTGGTGGGGGTTCTTCGACTATAACCTGATGTTCCTTATTTCCCGGTGAGAACTATACAATTGATTGACTGAAACGATCGTCGTGGGGCGTCGGTTTCGGCCTTACGCATACGGTGATGCGATATTTCAAGATATCGATACCTTCTCATTCTTACAATCATTTTTACAATCGAGAATTAGCCCAAGAGTCTCAAGAATTTGCTAATGCTGTGTTGAAGAGAAAAATATGTTGAGAAATGTCTATGATAAGTTATTTTATGATATTAATCAAGTTGGTTCTGGATTTGCATAAAAAACCATAACCATCTCTAAAAGTCTACATGTAGTCTCGATCTCAAAGGAAGAGGCGCGAATACAATTGTAACATTAAGCGAACTTACCTGTAAGTGAAGTTCAATCATAATTGTATTCGCGCCTCTTCCGAGAGATCACCCACCCTTAAATAAATAAAATCAACATCCCCGGCTGAATTCCGACCTTTGGAATTCCTCAAACTTCTTTTGTTACAGTTGCTTTGGAAGCATGAAGTACATAGGTAATGGAGGGTTCAGAGTAGTACCAATATAAGTATTTTTTTTTGGTTCTCTCTGAATGTTGTGGCGACACCGGCAGAGTGATGGAGGTACTACATATAGTCTTGATCTCTCCGAGGAGGCACGAGTACAATTATGATTGAACTTCACTTACAGGTAAGTTCGTTTAATTTTTGTTTATCCGATCACGAAACTGGTGAGCTTTGGCTAGGGCACAATATACGTAGTGATCGTGGCTTTATCCGTTCATCAACGGCGCATGGTAATCACATACAATTGATTGTTTATCCATCTTACGAAATGGTGGACAATGGTCTTCTTCTTCGGTAAGCTTCTTTTGCTGTGTGCTTCCTGATGAAATCCGCTTTGCAGGAACCGTGCATAAATATGCGATCTGCACGGCACACTACACTACGTAGATGATTTTGGACAAGTTGTTTGAATAGAGTGCTCCCAATACCCCAATCAATACCATGATGATGTGCTACCCACTTATCCTCCGTCCTCAAAATGGTGACGTCCATTCGACAGTAAAATTCTAGCTCTTGTTTGAAATTGAAGACTTAATTCTCATTCAATTTTTCATTGCGCCATTTCAATAGCTTGTCGTGGTCTGTTTTGATCATAGTACCGAGGGAAGAATAGTGCAAATGTCGTAACGGCCCCACGTAGTCAAAATCTTCAGGCACATTGAAGACCTGATGAAAATATCCCCTAGCTATATCATTATCGAACCCAAATGATTTGGTAATGCTGACAATAACATCTGAAAATAATTCAAGCTATCCAGAAAAATTACGTTAGCAACTTGAATCTTCATGATTTTTGTACCGTTCAAAGTTACACGGGGAAGACATGTTCTTTTGGTGTTGACTAAATAACGTAGAACGAACTGTGCATCAAAGCTGCGCGCGTTGTGTGCAATGCAAATTACTTTGTCAGCTGAGCGATAGCTTGAGAGTGCAATATCCGCTAATCCAGCAACAGCCGTGCGTTTATTCGGAAACGCATATTCGCGTTTTCCACAAGTGGGGCAATTTTTATCTAAATTATTGTCATGACAACACTGTGTACATACTTTTTGTAGAATGGAAAAGCTGGGGATATGCAGTTGTGTATCGGTATCGCCGCGTACAGGGACGTTCTGATGCGTCTCAAAATCATAAAATATGAAAATTGTTCGCTGTTGCTGACGTGTTTTCAATGGTAGCATATAACAGTGGTGGTTTATTTCACGTTTACACCCGCGCACTCGACAGAATAGTATATCGCATCCGTGGTGTTTATCTTTTTTCTGTGCGCGGGTAAGTTTGAAACACAGTTGACATACTTTACGAGAATCACAGACAGTCATGTTGGAATTTTTACTTTTCAATTTTGCTGATCCCTTCTTCATATATTGCGCAAGGCACTGGCGGTTGAAAAACCAACGGTTGCAGGCTTTACAAACTACACGTTGTAGATTTTGGCAAATGGACTCAATCTTACACCGGGGGCATTTACCAGGGCAACGATGTTCTATGTTATCTGCGAATGCTCTGTTACACAGATCACAGAATGGACGTCCTGCAATGGCTCCTTCTAAGCTGAGGATCGGTTCGTAATGCTGCTTACGCTCGTAATATAAAACGAATAGTGTGTGCTTAACTGAACCATGACGTTCTTTAACAAATTCATAGACTACGATGGCTCGCTTCCGCGGAAGGTAGTAATTTTGAAATGCATGAAGTTCTGTGATCCCGCTACAGTTTTCAGGGACCGTTACCCCGCTGAGTAGCATTAATTTTACTGCCCCTTTCTGCTGAGTATCACGAGTTTTATTGATGATTGCTGCCCATCGTCTTTCTAAGTACATAATAACATCACCCGTTCTGATTTCTCTTGATTTTATAGTGGAAAATACAGTGTTTTTTTGTTATTCTAATCCCGCGTCGCGTGTTAATTATTTGTGTGCACCTCTCGACTTTCCCGAATCCCATCCATTTCCATCGGTCATGTTATTTTATTTAACTCTCGCCGAAACATTTGGTCCTTCGAACCGGATCCGGGAAATTAATTAATTAATACGCTGAGTGGTTTTCCTGGTCAGTGCGTGGCATCGGACAAAAAGACAGGAATATTTTCAGTGGCCCTCCTTCTCGTGACGTAGTGCCTGGACTCCTCCCTCTCGTGACGTCGTGGTGCAGTGGTGTTCAACGCGAACTTTTGCTTCGGAAGCAGGATCGTGGGTCTTCTTAGTGCTTGCTGAAACTCTCACATTTTCGCCATTACAGCAGACCTTCTTTGAGGGAGGTCAAGCATTTTTCTAGTATTTTTTTTATATTTTTACCGAATTTGCTATTTGCTTGATTTCTGCCTTTCTCCCTAGATTACTGGTTGTGCTGCTTCTCTTCTGTGCCTCTTCTCTCCAGAATCCGTTTTTTTTGCTTTTCTGGTTATTGTTTGGGTATTGCTTTTTTAGCGGTTTTTTTTTGTGACGTTTTTCTCTTGGTGTATTTTTTCTCAGCATTTAGCATGTCTTCCACTGGGAGACTCGGGGGCCAGGGCAGCATGGCTAATTTCCGAGCATCTCTGAACGCTGAATCCGCTGCAGATAACGTGAAAAAGCTCTCCGTGAGGGAGCTACAGACGAAGCTGGACATGCTGGAGAATTATTGGGGTCAATTCGAGGAGCAGCATTTGAAGCTACGATCAGGAAAGGACAAAGGAGATTTTTCAGAACGAGTACGCAAAGAACCAAATCTATGACACATGCTTACAGTATTACTCTTCAGCAAGAACTGCATTCATGAGCTTGATCAAATCTGCGGATAATTCTGTTGATCTCTTTCAATCGTTTCATCGCAGACCATCCGCGTCTACAGTAACTTAGGTGTCTTAAAGGCAATTGCCGAAGATATCTAGCACCTTTCATAGAAGATTTCTCGGAGTGGACTCCATACCAGGATCTGTTCCTGTCGATGGTTCTTGGGAACAACAACCTCTCTACTGTATCAAAGCTCCATCTACTCCTATCTACTTACCTCTCACACTGGTGATCCTAAAAAAATGATCTCCTCCCTGCCACTCACTGAGTATTTTTTTATGACAGCCTGGGAAATGCTGACATCGAGATATGATGATGAAGGGGTCAGACGCGTCTCAATCAGCAATGGCTGCAGTGATATACCTGAGGGTAGTGCGGCAGGAGAGAGTCGAAGTTTCGTTAGCAATAGCTGAACCTAAGGTAGCCCCTCTGAAGCGACTCACTATCCCCCGTCTTGAGCTCAACGCTACAGTCACTCTGGCAAAGCTCGCAAGGTATGTGCAAGACGTTCTCAGACGTTCAATCCTGCTGATAGTGCATCTCGGGACATTTAGGTGCGTCAGTGCAGAGCTCATTTTTTTTTATAGAGGTTTTGGGAAACCTTGCATAGGTTCTGGCCTTGGTCAATCAAGGCCAGATCTCAGATTCTTACTCAGTAATCCACTTTGTTCTCCCTCTTGTCGCCTGGTCCCGCGAACCCCCCGCGGAACGACCTGCGGGCATTACCTCGCGGGGGGGGGGGCATCAACGGTGCCTGGCCGCTCTACCTGAAAGTGGGCATATAAATCAGAGCATATAAGTAAATCATCCTGTTCCCCTTCCTACCTAATCCAATTCGTATCCAAGGATTCATTTGACGTAGCTATAAAAACTTCCTGTTTTCTATGTAAAAATCCGCCTGCTCGCCTCCATCAGCTCTTCCGCTGTCACAGACAGGAAGGACAGTGTTTCTCCCGGTTCGATGCAAAATTCGGTTTGGGTTGGAAAGAGCTCACGAATGATTCTCTCCAGCAAGTCCGGGCCCGTAGGTGGCGGCATGGCTTGGCATTTAAGTTTCGCCATGACTACCGTGTACCGCCTACCCCAGGGGTCGTCTTCAACCTGGGCCATGAGTTCGCTCCATGCCGTTGCCTTACTTGGTTTCATGGTCTTCGAAAACCTGTTTCGCGCTTCCTTGTAGGCGTTTTCCATAGTTATTCTGTTGGGCCTCCTTCGTGTACGTTGCGCTAGTCTCCTTGCCGCCTTACACGTTCTGCGCAGAGCCGCTATCTCGTCGTTCCACCAATATACATGCGGCCGTCCGGCAGCGGAGCGCTTCTGCGGCGTCGCAGCATCGCACGCTCTCCTGATCCTACCCATCAGATCGCTAGCCTTCTCCGAGGCACACCTACAACTCATTGGCCCGTCCTCAAGAGCAACTTCGAAGATTGCCGAGTCGAAGTTACTCACCTTCGAACTGTTGGCTTTGGCTCTCTCCAGGGGCGGTCGCCTCCAGTTGTCAGCAGTCACTTCCCACATGATGGCGGGATGGTCGCTTGCAGTATATGTCTCGTTGACTCTCCACGAATGATTGCCCCTCACGAGGCACTCACTGG